TGTACTCTGTCTCACTCTAAGATATATTAGCACCATTATTAGATTTCTGGATGTACTTCAGAGACTGTATTGGTGAAGATGGCTCTACTCAGAAATTAAGCCATCTTTAGTCTAGTCAACATGTCAGTAAATATTCTTGTATCCTGTTCATCTTTAGTCTAGTCAACATGTCAGTAAATATTCTTGTATCCTGTTCTCTGAGTTTCAAAAGTAGACAGAATCCAGAAGGCTGGATTACTTTTCATGTGGTTTCCTTCTTTGTAATTGCCTCAAATATATCTGAAAGGACAAAACATTCTTGATCTATGTGGTACAGAAGCTTCAAACACACATACTTGAGAAAAGATCTTTCTTCAGTGTCCCTTAGCTTCCTATTTGTCCAGCTATCAGTTACTGCTACAGCACCACAAGCTGATGAGTTTTAGCAGTCTCCTGTGCTCCAGCTCACATGAGGATTTCACAGCGAAACTGAATAAGGTCTTCCACGTAACTGACCTTTCACAAGAGATGCTGGGTGCTGTCAGCTGTGCCTTTAGGATGGTGGTTACATTACTGATAATGTACTAATTTGTTGTATCCATTGCATTCTTTCATCCTCTGCTATCCATCTGATCAAGGATAAGCTAATCTATTTCAACCAGTTTTAGTTATACATCACTGCTATCTAATCTTGGACTCTGCGTATCAAAACATTTCTTGGTGGTTTGCAGTTTGTCCCTCTATTACTCTGCTATTCCATCCCTTTTCTGAAATCTTCTGTCTGCAGGCTGCTTCAACAGTAGGAAGGCAGGGGATAGGCAGCAATGCAGTCAGTTTCCCAGCACAGAATTTTGTAGGAGCGGGTTTGTCTACCAGAGGATGGCAAACCACGCTGAATGCCTTTGGTTGTAAGCAGCAAGTAATGACTGAAAAGTGAGGAGACTTTAGACACGGTAATCCTGCATAATGATAACAGAGGTTAAAGTATCACTCTGAACAGTTAGGATGACTGCTTACTTATAGTTACAAAATGTTTTCACATCTAAGTATTTTATAGTGGCTTTTCCACTGCAAAGGCCTTACATACAGGATTTCTCCATAGTACAGAAGATCCTCATCAGTGTTTTGGAAATGATGAGAATGGGCATAATACAAAAGAGCATCTGTGTTTTCTGGCCTAGACATCTTATAGGAACTTCCCCAATGTATATGATTTGCAACAGCTGGACTCTGACTCTATGGATGAGACAGCATCTCCCAAAATCTTTCCTTCTCAAGTTAGTCAATAAATATGAGATCTTGCACTTCAGCTGAAGTCATGTGCAGGTGACTTCATCATTCCTGTAGCCAGACAAACCTTTCAGGCATGTCTGGATCCACATTAAACCTCTTTCCTTCATATGAGTCATTTGTGATAAGGAAACACAGACAAGATTAAATTTCTATTAGACAGATGTGTAACTGGTTGGAAAGCTGTTCTCAAGAAACAGTTAATTATGCTTCACTGTCAGACGAGATGCATTAAAGCATGCTCTCCAGGGACTATACAATATTTAATTCATGATTGAAAAGATGGAATTAGCATTTAATGGTACTCATACTACCTGGAAAAATACTACAAGGTATTATGATCTTAAGAAATTATTTTAAGAATTTGGTTCAAAGAATGACATGTAATGACAATAAAGATGAATACCAACTTCTGTGTTTATACAGAAGTAATCTTTTGCATAAATGCAAGTGAGGGAGGACTGACTCAGTGACAGTCCTGGAGACAATAGGTAGATCACAAGTTGCACATGAGACACCAGTATAGTTTTATGAAGGATGTAACTATTGTACTGGGATACATAGAAAGGAGGATTATTTATAAAGCATACAAAGTGGTTCTTTTATTCCTCTTGACACTGGAAAAGACTTCTTTCTGGTTTGGAACACCACAACTGGAGAAGGATTCTGACCAACTGGACTGATTCCAGAAGAGAACAAAAAAGTGATCAGAAAGCTAGGAAATAGAACTTGTGAGAAGATGTTGAATAAATAGAGGTTGTTTAATCTGGAGAAGAGAAAACAGAGGAACTAAATCTTTCAAATATAGAAGAAAAAAAGATAATAAAACAAAGTTTTTTCCATATTCTCTTCACAACAAGTTCAGGCCAAATATCAACAGAAGATTTCTAATTGTATTTTTGTTCTTAGATGATGAGATATTGAGACACATTCCCTGGGGAGGTTCTGAAGTACTCATCATGTTCTAGAAGAGGTAAATCAGATATCTGTGAAGAATAGTTTATTCTGCTGTATCCTAACAGAAGATGATCTTTCATGGTCTCTTTAGACCTATTTTCTATTAATGTCAATGTTTTATTTTCTCACAAGTTAAATAATAAGGCCTACTCCTCCCTATTGGTTAACCCAAATTCCATGTCCAGGGAGGCTGCTGTCCCTTCCTTCTGTCCAACTTTGTGATTTCCACACATGAGCAAGCAAGAGGATCCCTACTGCTGATCTTGACAGAACAGCTGATGCAACTGTGGTAGCAAAGAAACTTATTTGTATGTCAATAAAATATCCCGTGGCTTTGCTTTTCTCTCAATCTGTCACAGTCCACTAAGAAATGCACTAATAGATGCACTAATAGATGCTAATGGCCATTGCCGGTGTCCCTTGGGGCCTCTACTTTCACCTGTGGGCACAGGAACACCAGGTCAGCCCTGGGCTTGTAGTCCATGCCTGATCTGTGCTGTGTGGGTACTGACCTTCAGCTCAGCTATAGCCAAACCTGTACGTTACTGAAAACATTCACCCATACTCTGATTCATACACCACCTTTGTTGAACCTGTCTCAACACTATGGACCTGCCTTGAGATCCGTGGGCTGTGTTTGATCATGGTACTCACCAGGCCTGGTACTAAAAGAGTTCATTGTCATCTTTGGCTCTGGTGAGGTTCCTTGTCAACTCTTTTGCTCTCTCCCTATATCATATATATATATATATATATGTATGTATATATACGTGTGTGTGTGTGTATAAACACGTCAATATTTACGTATATCACCAGCTGCACAAGTTCCTTGGGGTGGTTAAGCCATTACTCCTGCATATTATCTTCAGGTGTCCACTGACTGAATCATGTAATTTCCTGATGCCTCAGACCCAGGTGTCCTGAGCTATTCCTCAGAAGTGTTTTTCCCACTTATCACTCCATACAGGAAGCTAGATGAGATCCAAATTTGTTTTGGATCCAAATGATTTCCTTAAAAAAAAATGTGTTCCTACACACCTGTCATAAGATTCTCCTGAACATGGTTTTGGCTCTTCATCTTATCTAGACAACTGATATATTTCCATTCTTTCTTGAAGGGAGAAGTTTCTAGAGGCAGGGTGTCTTCAGACCTTTGTTGTTAAGAGGCCTTTAACTTTTTGCCTTCACAGGACTAAGTGTTTGAGATCCAAAGTTGTTTGTGTCAGCAGCTGAGAGGTTGAAAGTCAGGAGTGCCAAGCAGGATAACCACCAGTGAAACCTGTTATGAAAACACCAAAAAGGAGCCTCCCTCCAAGATTAATATACATTCCACCAGAGCTCAGTCTAAATTAGTGGCTTTCTTGAGTGGTAGCTCCACTGCTGACATTTGCTCAACTGCTACCCGGAGTTCCCTCCACACCTTTACCAAGTGTTTTGCCATTTCAGAAGCATTCAGGTATAATACAGTGTGTGGTATTTCTGCATGTTTCTGCAGTGCTTAATGCATGAAGTATGCCATGTCTCCCTACCAAACACTGTGAGTGTTAGGAAGAGCTGCAGTATGAATATAAATATGGATAATCTATATTAATAATTTCTGGTTTGAATATTAAATATTATTTACATATCAGTTGATGAAACTGTTAAAAGTGTGCTGTTTGTGAGCATGCTCCTTTCACACGCTCCTTCTCCATGTGTTTAAGTCTGTCTTACTACTCTCAGCCTTGGATTTCTGTTATGGAAAAGGAAGTTAAACAGTCTCCACATTATGTATGTAGCAAGGCCAACAAGCCAGATAGAAAGGAAGTGGAATGTAAACCAGGCCGGCGGATACTGCATGGATACGAAACTATGTGGTCTTGAGGTTTTGCAGGACACACAGCATGCACATCCATGTAAGGTGTACACATTGATAGATAGATAAAGGTATTTGTGAAATAACTTTCCTCTTGCTACTGCAGGTTTCACTTCAGAAAGTAGATCTTAATACAAGATTGTAAGAGCCCATCCTTTTGACCATGCAATGATCATGCCTACTAATAAATAGATTTTTATTTCTTCTTATGAAGACATTGCATTTTATTATTGCTTTTAGTAGAAGAACTGAAGTCCCCTTATACATTGTAATTCTTGAAGCAGTGATGAACCATTTCAGCAAAAAGATTCAGCCTGTGTGATGATACTGTCATAAAGCTTGACATCACTGCTCTTGGCTGGGCCACTCCCCTTCTCTTCAAATAATACTGATTTCAGCAGCAGTATCTGAAGAGAAAGAGGGTGTTTTGCAGTGTGAGAGGGGTGTTACAGCTTGGCCTCTAATCCTTTACTGTGAAGTTGCCAGGGTGTGGGTGGAGGGAGGAAGAGCATTTATTTCTGAGAAAGAATATTATTGCTGTATTCTCATACTAACACTGGAAATAGTATTTTAGTGAACTATAGGGTACACTGAAGCACACAGCTAGAGATGCTGGAATGAAGCAAAGCTTATCCTATTTGGATTTCTTCCATCTAATTTTATTTTCCAAAGCTACATCCGTTCTTGGACAAAGAGGATAATCTAGACAGAGCTGAATTAAGTTGTGGTCCCTGACTGCAGGGCTTGCTCTTATGGCTGGCTCTTTTTCAGGGCACAAAAATGAAACAGGAAACTCCTTGAGTCCTACTGTGTTGTACATACGCACATGGACCAATCTTCATTTCCTTTTTTTAAAGATTTGTTTCTTTTACTATGTGAATATCATGTAATTGTATTCCTTTTTGTTTGTTTCTTCCAGAATGTTCTAATTGTGGAGGTAAGCTGGGTGCTTATGTCATATTGTACTTAGATAAAGTCACACAGCCAAACCACGACTGGCTGTTCAGTTTCTAAATCCTGTCTGTGTTTACACTTCTTTCACTGGGAGGTGGTGAAGAGGGAGAGGGGTTGATTTGCTCAATGGCAATTCAGTTTTTTTTTGAAATTGCATGACAGATCAAACTACATTGCTGTCACTCTAGCTGGAGCTGTGCCATGTGATACCCAGAAGTCTTTGTTTCTGCCTCATTTGATTTGTTCTTTCTATGGTTTCATCAACTCCTGTTCTTCAAGTTGTTCTGTTCCTTGGAGGACAGTGAATCAACTGCAGTGATACCCTGCATTTCTCAGGTGCATGACTTTGAAATAGCAGCCCTGCATATGCTTTACAGCCCCAGGGTTGTTCACAGTCTGGTTGGGAGTCTCAGTCATTCCCTCAAGCCCCCAGCTCCTGCATCCAGCTCTCCAGCCAGCAGTGTCCCTGGGGCACAGCCCATCACAGAATTGTTGCTGATGTAAGTCAGCAGGGTTCAGTTGTAGAGGGAAACAACTTGTCACTTCACTGGTGCTCCAAATTCTCCTATAATTAATGTAGGTGATTCTCTTTAAATAAGCAACTGGAACAGCTAGAGAGCACATTAGGATCTGCCTAGCATTTCAGAACCAGTCTGCTTGTGTGGGAAGTAAGCTAGACAGTGTAATGAACTGTGTATTGTTGAAACTTCTTCTCTTAGGAAAGAATGGGAAAAAGCCATCAGCCACAGAGATGGCTGGTTACCTGAATAGCTGCTATGAGCTCCATATTTACTCATTCCAGGTTCTTTAACAGAAATTAAAAATGTCCATAGCAGATTTCCTTAATGCCATTAAACAGCTGGAGGGCAGAGACAAGGTGTTGCTAATCCACTCCCAGAGTTCAGGATCAACATCTGCTCTCCATGGTCAGTTTTCTAGCCAGGTACTTACTGATCTCATTGAGATGATATTGGATATGGCAGCTCTGGAGAAACCACATTTGTACTTTGCTAATAAAACAATAAATAGGGCAGATTTTGACCCGACATAGAGACACGTTGACATACTGTGATTTCAAGCATAATATGAAAAGTCTAATCCCTGCATCCTTGCAGTGCCCAGTAGAGTCATCTCCAGTCCTGAGTTACATCCCAAGTACTTGCAACGTAGCTGTTTTCAAGAGGAAGTGGACAGTCCTTGAACTGATAATTTTATGAATAGAAAGTGCTTGCTTCAAAAAGTCTAAGCTCAATTATAACCTTTTTTTGGATGTGGTTTACAATGCACTGGAAAATAAATCATCTCCACAAAATAAGAATGTGGAACTTCACTGTCATTGTCCAGATTTCCTCCTTTCAGCTTTCCTTTGTGTTTTACTTACTTTATTTTTCTCGTTTTGTAAGGATATTGTTGGAACTGGAAGAACCATGAAGGTTCTGCTTAACAATATAGAAAAATACAAGCCAAAAATGATTAAAGTGGCAAGGTGAGTAAAATTATCACAAAACTTAATAATTAATTAGTCTAGTCCAGCATATTTTCCCGAGTAGATTCCCATTCAGAGATCCTGCTTTAATTTGATGCTGCAGTATGAAGCGCTGCAGAGCTGCCTGAGTCACTAAGGGGAGGGTGAAGGAAAGGAGAGGAAATGCTTTTTTATTGTTCTGCCTCAGCAGTGACCCTCCAGCCATTTCAAGACTGGCACTGATGGACTTGGGAGGGGAATATACCCAGGTCTTCCCTGCAATCAGGATGTTGTCAGGAAGAGAAACAGAACAAGAACAGGGATTCACATGGCTCAGGAGATTTTTGATAAAGGGAATAGTTTTTATGTGTGTTATTCAGTTACATATCTAGATTTAAATGGGGTATATTTTATTTTTAATTACAGTTTGTTGGTGAAAAGAACATCTCGGCCTGATGGGTACAGACCAGATTGTAAGTGTTCTGAAAATCTCTACTTAACAGTAGAAGTTACCACAACTGTCACTTGCTTTTCATAACATTTTATGGACTGCTAGAGGCACTGTAAAATACCAGTTGTCAACGGGTCTATGGGATGCAATGGAAGGATTTGTATACTTGTCCTTTGGAAAGCTTACCCTACTTAGGTTTTCTGCAGAATACTAACTTTACTGGGAAATTTTGAAAGGGTTTAATTTTATCAGTGAAAGGTGAGCGTTTTATCTTCAGTCTCTGACAAACAATATTGAAGAGAATATCCATTTCTTCTTTTTTCTTCCTCATTGCATCTCTGGAGGAGCTGCAGGATTTCATCTGAGCATGAAAGGTGTTTTATGGTGACTAAGTATTAACAAGTTTTACATTTCTTTATTCAGAAAAGCACTTCTATTTTTAAAAATTATTATTGTTCAAAGGGAAAACACTGATATTATAATTAAATCCCATTCCCTAAAAAGCAGAAGATAAATTGGGCTTTTTAAACTTTCTCCTGCTGCTCAGTTTGTACCACACCAGCACCACTTCTCTCTAAGTTATTGGCCCTTATACTGTGTTATGATGAAGCTGTTAATGGAGCTATACCAAGCAATTGTCATTTTAAACTTATTTAGAATAAATGATGTAATAACAGGTATGTGGCTAAATATAAAAATAATAGATCCATCTAGAAGAGATCGACCAGTATTTGCTACTGAAGAAGTCTCTGGTCACCTGAGCTGGGGAGGAGGGTAGAAGGAGAGTAGGCAGGTAAGTAGCAGGAGGCAGCATGAAGGGTTTTTATTTGGGATGTGGGAGAGAGGGAAAATTTATGAAGCAAAAGTTACTTAAACGTTGGGCATGGCTCTGAGGTTTTAGCCCTGTTATCTGAACTATGATCCAAACATTTTGTTGTACAAATCTTTATACAATGGAGTGGTATTTTTAACATTAAGAATTGAATCCAGTAAATTAAGACATATATTTGACTGGATTCACTGATGTTAAACATGTAAAAGAGGCAATAAAATGGCTTCAGGAAGGGTAGCTTTATATTTTTTATGCATTAACTTTTAAATGAAACAAATTTTATCCTTGTTTATTCATAGTGTGATGAATTCTATAAAACATCAGAGATCTCTTTTGTAAATCACTGACAATGCTGTATCATTTCCTCACTTCTCTAAATTTACAATTAAAGCACATATAACCCCCAATCTTAAACAACTGAAAAAAATCCTTACCTGAATACCTGTAGAACTTTTTATGTGGACCTATTTCTGTATCTGTAAGAGTGGGTTTTCCTCTCATTATTTAGAGAACAATTTGGAAAGAGCCAAACTTGTTTTATATAATGCTGATATTGCACAGACCTTCACACTCAAAAAGATGCATGTGTATGCTTAGCTTCAAGTATGAGCTGTATAATTGAGGTGCACTGCATGCATTTACTTCGTTAAGCATGTGCTTGGATCTTCATAAGGTTGGGACTTTAATTTAAGAACCATTTGACATGTTTTGGTAGCATAAGATACAAGGTAGATCTTGCTATTCATAGCAGAAAATATATTGATCTCTGAAAGTTACTTCTGATTTAATATTCTACATTTTTCCATCATTACTGTGATATGGGACAGTAATCATCACACATATATACCAATGGAGCTTCCAAATGCAAGCAGACTCTTCCAGCTTTGATTTTGGCTTCTTTCCACAATGTGCCAGTGATAATTTTATGCAGAATTGTCCTTTCCTCTCTTCTGACTATTCCCATCTCTCTCACAAGTACTGTATGACTGGTATCTAGCCGTGGGGCTACTGCTGACTATGATGTCTCAGATTCAAAAGTAACATAGCCCCAACTGACTTCATATAAGTAGAGTTTGCTTATTGAGAACTGCACATGAATTTAAGCACTTATAACTTGATCTTAACTTAAGGACTTAAAATGATCTTGTGTTGATGGTGTTTGTTATTTGTCTCAATACAGATTACGGATTTGAAATTCCAGATTTATTTGTGGTAGGTTATGCCTTAGACTACAATGAGCACTTCAGAGATCTAAATGTAAGTTTCTTACTAAAAAATGGTTTAAAAAGTCACTGGTCTACTTTTCCAATATTTATTTCCATAAATATCCCATAATTTGTCTCCTCCTTGGGGCCCTGTGGAAGTATGTCTTTGACGTGGTTGGGATTTGGGATCCTTTCAGTGAGTGCAGAATTCCCTACAAAACCTCAAATAATCCAAAGGAGTCCCTGCTTAGCACTGCGAACATTTCCCTCCCCCTAAAAGCTCTTTAAATTTCCACCTTCTGTGAGCCTAGGGCTTCTCAGGTGCACCATTGCCAGTATGTGCAGAGACAGCAGCAAGAGTGAAACACACAGGTCAGACGGGTTCTGTGAATGCTGTGTTGCCTGTCTCTTTTCTCAGAGAAGTGAGGATGGAAAGAAGGTGCAAACCTTTCCTTTGCTTCTTGTAGTACTCCCAGAGTACTACCTTAAAAGCTGGAAATTCCAAGTGGGAAAACTTGCTGGAGCTAGCAAGTGAAATCAGAATTCACTTCCAGATGTCGGGAAAAGAAAGAGTAATCATAAGATCACTAGGTTGGCCAAGCCTAAATATTTCTGAACAATTAATTAATAATTAATAATGTACTCAACCATGCTTTTGCAATCTGTTCTGTTTTTTTCAGCACATATGTGTTATCAATGATCATGGCAAAACAAAATACAGAGTCTGAAGCAGTAACATCCACACCTGAATATTTCTGTGAAGCAGAAATTTGACTACGCTCCCTCAAGCATCGCCCAGAAAAGCAATTCAGTTGACTTGTATGTCTTTCAAATCAGTATAATAAAGGGTTTACTCTAGAGCTGCTGATGAATATTTACAGATGTGAGAGCTCTTATCTAAAATGTGAAGCATAGGACTTTTACAGTTACTACCTTTATTAAGCATTAAAATTACCACCTAAGATGCCTTTTGACTAATAATTTGTCTGCCTTAGGTCTCATTGTGAATTCATATTTTCTTTGCTCAGTTCTTCTACATGCAATTCATGTACTTCTGTGTTGCACAAGATAATTCAAAAGTGCCATTCTGTGTATGAGGATTATTTTACAAGATTTTATTGATTTCATCATGCCTTTAGTCTTGGTCAGATATACTGCTACTAAATTGAAAGCATTATTTTGATTTAATTCCTCACTTCCAAAGTTTCAGCTGAAGTTCTGTGTTGTGCTGCAGTTCATTACCCACTCTTCCAAACAAAGTTTTAGCTCTCAGAATTAGAGTGCAGGTCAAAATGAACCTTTGGAAGACACTGTTGATCCAAAATTGGAAGATAACATGGTTCTGATATGTCACATAGCCATAGATCTGACCTATTTAATGTGCTGAATTTTAATCAAGACAAAGCAATGCCAGGCAGGTTTGAATTTCTGCATGGTGTCCCTTTCTTCTGTAGGACACAAGCAAGTATAAAAATTAACAGTGTTCTCCTGAGCTTATACTCTTAACTAAACCTCATTAAGCACAAAAGTTTAATGTTAGTCAGACAATTATTCAGTTAGTATTTGATTTTTGTAATGTGTCGAAGTAGAGGCCTTTTGTAACCATCTATCATCTTCAAGATCACAGATCTGACAATCTGACAGATCTGAAGAAGATTTGTATGGAAACAAAAAAGAAAAAATGTTTAGGACAACACAGGAAACCAGTTAATGCATGAGTGCTGTAGACTCTAGACTCCTTCCTTTATAGATCATGTTTGAAGAAGTTTGTGAATTTTACATACTGTATTAGCTGTGAAAAGTTTAATTCTGTGTTGAATATGTGTTCTTAACAAGGAGCTGTGTATCAGTAGCTTTGCTCTGAACTGTGAGAGGCAGATTGTTACTAGCTGCAGATTCCTATAAATTAATAAAGAAACATTAAGCATACTTGTTACATTGCACAGTTGTTTGTTTTCCTGTTTCAGCATATTTTGCATGTCCCATAAAAGCTTTTAAGAAATATGCATTTACCTGGTACTCTAAACATACCATATGTATGTAATCTGTAGCTCATAAGCTATTGTTATTTGGATAAAATTCATGATGTTAAGGGAATGAAAAAGACAAATAATTATGGTGATTGCTAGAGAAATGCCTTAGCTCATCTCTACTATTTAACTTGTATTTTAAAAGGATTCTGTTGAAAAACTTCCCCTCAGAGTAAATTTCTTCTGTTTTAGAGAAGAATGCATATTCTTACAGACCCTGGAAGAAGCTGCTGAAGAAAATGTAATCCCTTTTTGCTTGATGAGAGTGGTAAAGTTTTTCTTAATACTTCTAACTGCTGTGGATTTAGTAGTAATGACACATTGCATAGACTGACATGATTAGACTTAGGCTTAGTCCAAGACATCAATTAGGTTATTTCTTTCTTTTCCTCTCTTCTTAAAAAGTTACAGTCCAATTCACCTTGCTACAATTACCAGCTTTCAGCAACAACAATAAAAATTTAGCAAGTAGTGTAAAATCAGTGTGAAAATATAAAGTACTGTAGATACACATAATTCAGACTGTGTTAAAACTGTTTAATTGGAAAACTCAGATTATTAAAATTTACATGCTTAAGAGAAAAGACCAGATTTCTAGAAAATACGAGAACTGGGATGTTTCTTCAAATTCCATTTCCTCCTGTCATCATATTTCTAACACAGTGAATTTGCATGTGGAATTATTCTGTGAATAAGGGAGGTGTTCTCTTCTAATGCCATATTTGAATTTTGTACCTATATGTGTCTGAGCATCTCCAGGTATCTCAGCTGCCATCCACATTACTCTTTGCTTGAAGCACTTCCACTTGAAAAATTAGCTTTTAATTATTTTAACAATCAGACTCCAAAATCATTAGTGTAACTGAGGGAACAGGTAATCATGCATGTATGACTGATTAATATGGGGCTTAATCTCTTTGGTGTGCTCAGAGAATTTATTGTTTTGTGTTTTGGTAATATTGTTGATTCCACTCCTTTAACTGAAAGGCCACTAAATATTTTTTCAGTTGTAGTTGCATGCTATGACCCACAAAGCTATGTTTGGGGTTTTTTAATCAGTTCAGCAACCTCTGTTACTTAAGAGGAGATGTTATTTAAAATCCATTATTTTCCTTGAACATTGTTTTGGGGCAGGCTTCCATTTTTGTCTCGATTTTTCTTCTTGTGCACTTAAGGCCAGGATGTTTTCCTCACCTGTTGAATACAAATCAGCATGGACAGTAATTTTGTTTAAAGTGATGACTTATTAGCCATCAGATTTTTGATTGTATTCAGTCCATTTATGTCTGGTTCCAAAATATCAAGAAATGATTTTCTAGAGAGAAGGTCAAACTAGGAAGCATAATTCCCTCACTTTGGTTAACTGAATAGAAATTAGGATTTCATGCTGCAAACCATAGATATGGTCTGAATATCCGGTAATTTCTGCCTAAAAAGTAGAATTTAAATAGTCTAAAAGGTTTGTAATTAAGATTTTTTTTCAACTGAATCAGCTGCTGTACTCTTCTAGTTAAATATGAACAAAGTAGGAAATAGTCTGTTTGATTGATTGATTGATTGATTGATTGATTGATTGCTATTAGTGTTATATTTCCTGACCATGCTGTGTTAATCCTCGAAGTGTTATTAATAAATTTATATAATGTAAAATTCCAATATTTCCCCCCAAAATACAATACTAACTGTATGTGATATTCAGCTGCAGAACAGTTTCTGATCTATGAAAGCATCAAATCATCACAGTTTATACACAGTAAAATGCTGATTTTTGTTATGTGCTTAGGTCATGAGTCATCATTATTGATCTATGGTAAGAATAAGATTTATTTAAATACATAGATTGCTAATACTAAATTTTAATATATCTTAATATATCTTATATATATCCTATAAAGTATCTTATAAAATATCTTATATATCTTTGATATATCTTATATATAAAAGGCTGAATCAGCTTCTATGCGTATCTTACATTTTGATTTTCTCAGATAACATAGCAGTGAAAATCCTATTGTAATCAAACTTGTTACACACACAAACTGTAACTGATTCTAGCCACCTTGAAAACTTTAATTTTCAGTTTCATTTAATTTTAAAATCAGAGTCTCAAAAGAAAACCATTACAGGGTTGCATAGCAAGAGACAGGATTCCTTGCCCTTTTGTAAAACCATATTTGAGGATGCTTTTTCCTTCTTTTACCTTCTAAATGTTATCCAAAATCTCATGGTCTAAATATAAAGATCTGAGATGAATGCAGTATCACAGTGTACTGGGAAAGGTATCCTAAATTATTCTTCTCAAATTGGAGGGAGAAATGTAGAGACATAAGTTGAGGTAGGTGTGTGTTACCTCAGTTGAGTCTTCCAAAAGTTAGCTCTGGCTGTATCCTCCACATGACTAAGGTGGCTGAGTCAGCCTCTCCTGTGCTTGTCTCAATGTCCCCATTTGAAACTTCAAATGAGAGAAGCAGGGTGTCAGGTGCTTTAGCCATCCTTTCAAAACATTGAAAATACAGTGGAGGGAAAATTAAAGCTTGTATCCTGATTTCATACACTTTTCACAGTTACTTTTTTAATGCCACACACCTTTGTCTGGGAAGGCAGCCTTGTACAGCTATCCCAGTACCTGGCTGAAATGTTTGTTCCACTAGGGAATGACTGCTGTGCTTGCCAGGGATATTCAGAGCAGTGACAGCACCACAGCAACACTTGGACAGCTGGAAAAGTTTGGTCACAAGCCATAAATTATACTGTGGGATTATTTTGTAGTGTTAAAAGGATAATTATTTGTGAAGAAGCAGCAATATTATGCACTTATAAATGATAAGGGAAAGACATCCCAATTAAAGAAGGCAATACAAACAGACTGAGGAAAGGTTGTCCTTTATTTTGCAGAAAAGACACAGAATTTTTTAGAAGGGAAAAAAGGAGACATCAGTTCTGGGTGAGGCTCCATAAGCCCTTTGAAGGCTGTCAGCTGTAGTTTGGATGCTTGTGCTGTTATGCAGAACTGGCTGACCCTGCCTTCCTTTCTGTCAATAAACCAGCCCTTGGTTTCTTTGTACCTTCACATGAACACATGTGTATCCGCAGCTGAACTTTTCACTGCTGCCAGCAGTTGTTTTGGAACACCAAGGGGTTTCCAAATGCAGAAATTTAGACTCAATTAGTTAAATACTTGCTGTCAAGCCTTGTTCCTTCTGCTGCTGCATGGAGCAATGAGCTACTGACAAACTATTGGAGTCTGCAGTACAGCGATTTATGTCTAATACTAAGTTTTGGATACTGTTCAGAGGATGACCTTTAGTTTGTTTCAGGAGTGGCATGAAAGTTTTCCTCTGTTTTTCCATAGCAGAAAGAGACAAAAATTACTTGTAGTACTGTAGTTCTAGAAGTCTGTCTTCAACCTGCATGATTGGGCCTTTGATAATGGTAAGAAAGTGTGGTTTCTAACCATGACACAAAATTTCATTAACTTAACTCATTACTGCATGTGTTCAAAAATCCATTGTTCCTACTGTTAGTAGAGCTTTGTACATTTATCAGTGCTGCTAAGTCATGAGGTTACACAAGGGACAGCTATTGCTGGAAGGCATATGTTATGCCTTCATAGCTATTGAATTTGCATAGAAAAACATTGGAATTTAGCTAAGATGTTTTAGAAGCAGTGCCAGAAAACAGAGTTATCTTGAAGTGCCTTTTCTCAGCAATCTTCTATTTTCCTAAACGTCTAGAAGTATTCATCTCTTTTCTTCAGATTTCTTATCTCCAGTTACAAATTGCTTTTATACTCTATTCTATCACAATGTCTTTTAACCAAGTCCTTGCCAGTCCTGTAGTTTTTAAGGATGTCCACAAATGCTTGTGATTTACTGGGAAACTTCAGCCCTTTTTCTGAAACATTCAAGAGCAGATTTTCAAAGGTGCTTATGCATCCAAGAAAATTTTACGGGATTTCACCTGCTTGGGTGGGTGCCTAGCTGCATCCTTCAATGACCATGTATCTTTGAAAATATGTTTCTTGCCTAATCTGGATAGACTGGGAAAATATGCAGTAACATAACTTGGAATGAAAACAACAAAAAGAAGAGGCAAGCACAATCATGTCATTCTTTCATGTGGGCATGAATATCTCTTTGTCTTTCTGAATCATGAAAGTGTTTAATAGATTTATTTGTTTGGGTTTTCATGAGAATTATTGTAGTAGTGTTTCTGCTCTTTCTTAGGAAATTTGGAATGAAGTGAGGGTGTTCAAAATTTAGCTTTTGGAAATAATAACTCAGCATAAACATTAGCATAGAGAGACAGAAAACAGATCAGCTACAAAGGAATATTCAACAACAGTGGCAGAAGAGTCAAGGAGAGTGAAAAATTAAGTGTCATAAAAAAAACTTAAGCCATAGAGTATTAATTGGAATGGATCCACCAGTGGGTGTACAGGCAAGATATTAAAATTGGTTAAATATGACCTGCTGAATGAGTGTGGAGATGTGAATTTTCTGCTGAAAGCCAGTTTGGTCCTGGGCCCATTTGTGCCATATGGGAAAGAAAACCATAATAAACTAAAATTGTTTATCTTCCTTCAGAAGCGTTTCACATAATAGCATGATGATATTAACTGTGTTCAAGCTTTTAACTACAAACACCCAGCTGAAGCTTCCAGAACTATTTTGCCTAAGCTGTAGACAAGACAATCTCAGCCCTGTAAAGTCAATCACAATCTCTCTGTTTTAAATTTAATTAATTTAAGTAG